GTATCCCTGTCCCTAAGACTGACACGCCAAGAGGCGATGACTATCTTAGGGATCCGCCCTCAAAAAATAAGGGAACCCCTAAGATTGGCATCGTGATGAGGAGGTGCCCAGCATAGGGATAGGGATATGTTCCAGGCTGGTATCAGGAGGGAAAGAAACACACAGACACAATTAATCCTCGATTCCCCAGAAAATATGGGAAAATATGGGAAGTCGGGGGGAAGACAAAAACCCTGAAAATATGGGAAAATATGGGGAATATGTTTATTTGTGTGCTGCAGCCCGCGCGACGGACGAGGCGAATGGCGGACGGGAGAGCGGGGGGGGGGGGGGAAGGCGTGCGGGCGCGCCGCCTGCCCGCCGAGCTCCTCGACCGCCAGCCTGGGCAAGGGCGACGGGGATCGAAGCCAGAGGAGGAGGAGGAGGAGGAGGAGGAGGAGGAGGAGGAGGAGGAGGAGGAGGGATGGAAGAGGAGGAGGAGGAGGAGGAGGAAGAGAGGAGGAGGAGGAGGAGGAGGAGGAGGAGGAGGAGGAGGAGGAGGAGGAGCGAGGAGGAGCGAGGAGGGAGGAGGAGGAGGAGGAGGAGGAGGAGCGAGCGAGCGCGCGAGCGAGCGGAAGCCGAGGGGCAGCTGGATCCGGAGACAGGGAGAGAGGAACAACCCTCACAACCCCCCCCCCAGCACTTACACGGTGGAGCCCGAGGGCCAGGACCACCTTGCAAGCACCAGGGCGGGGCGTGGGGGCCGTTCCTACCTTAAAGCAGACGCGGGCGGCCAGGGAGCACGGGGCCTGCGGCAGGCCCGTGCTCACCCGCACGAGGCCCGCCGAGGCGACGAAGGGCACCTCGAGGGCTCCCAGCGCCTTGAGCAGGTGCGACCACCACACCAAGCCCAGCTCCAGGGCGGCGAAAACCATGCCCACGTGGAAAGCGCCGCCGACGTGGCAAACGAAGGGGACGCGGAGCGACAGCGCCACAGTCGAACCACGGCAAAGCTGACTGGCGCTCCCGCCTCTTAGAGAGTTCAAGGGCCAGCAAGGCTGCAACCTCAAGAATCTCGGACGGAAGTCACCAGCCTGGCGACGAAAGAACCTGCCGCCCACAGGGCACAGGATTTGAAAACAGAGCAAGTTGTAGAAGCCTCCGAGGATCAAACTCCACATCGTGGCTTTTATCGGTGTACAGTCCATGCTGCACACTCAGTCCGACTCTTGGTCATCTTCATCATCATCAGGAATGTGGCCTAGCTCCACGGCCTCGCGGAATTCCATCCCGTACGCCAGGAGGATGCGCGATGTGTCCAGGAGCCTCTGCTTCTTCAGTGGGGTCCGAACTGCACTGCTGCTCAACTCTAGCTCCCACTTCTTGGTCACTCTGACCATGTTCCGTGCTGGCCCAGATGGCGACCGCGGAGACTCGAGCCTGACATGGGCTCGAATCGCCTGTGGATGCCTGAGAGTGTCCAAGTGCCGACGGTTTTCCACTTCACGGCCACCTCCATGCTTGCCTTTGCACTTCTGAGCCAGCCCTAGATGATTCTTAGAGTCTGAACAGAAATACTGGCAGCACGTGGAACAGAACAAAATAAAGTGTGGTGAGTCCACCATCGGATATTCCACTAGGCTGTGCCCTGCCACATGCCATGGCTCCAGGAAACCGTCTAGCTCGTCCTCCAGGACCAGTTCACAATGGGGCTCATTGTCCACCATGGCGGTCAGGGACTGCTGAAAGGGGGCCTCCTGCTCCTCATCTGCTTTCAACGGGAAATGGTAGTCCAGGCCCGCAGCGTTACAATCATACAGCCACGCTTGAAAATTCCCAAGGTACTGCAGTAGCATTTTGTGCAACTTCCTACAGCCCCGAACGAAATCCACATGCTCGTCCTCTGGCATATTGTATGCAGCCCCACGCTTCGCCAATGCGTCCGCCGTGGAGTTGTCCGTCTTCTCAAAATCTGACAACACACCTTCAATAACATCCGACTGTGTCGCATGACCCTTCACATGCTTAAACGCCTGCCGATGGAACTCCTCATTCTGGCCTATCAACTTCCACACATTAGCTCTTGGATTGCCTGCTCCCGCAGCCAGGCTAGGCGAACGGCAGTAAGACAGCGTGCCTTTGCAGTCTGAGAGTGCCGTGTATGATCCCAGAACTTGC